AAGACAATAAAGAAAATAAGCTATGAAAATAAACTAGGATTCAACAGATGTGACAAACTCAAAGGTTTGAAACTACTTGAACCAGAGTTAAATAGTGAGTCAATTTTAATTTGTGCGTGAACTATCCCTTTAATATCATTATATGGTATTGATGCCAAAAAGTCATCTAAATCAGGCGAATGAAATATCAAATTATGAATGCAGCCCATGTACAATACCAGCCAACAGTCACCAGTGTTTACAACAGCACCTCTGGTCCTAACGGCCACAGATTGATGAATTGATTTATTTATTAATTTGTTTTTGTACACAAAACATCTGCAAAATGCAAATGTTCCTCATCCCTACTTTATGGAATATAGTAAATAATTATGTACAAATTAACAACTGTTACTTTCTAAATTGTGTTGGTGAAATGTCACTGTATTCATCCTTAATGCCTACAGTGTGAAAATATCTGTCAAATAACAAGTTCACAAGTGTTTTCCGTTTGTTTATGGTTGTGAATTGCATTATGAGACCTTTTTCTCTGCTCTGTCGACTTTTGCAGTTGAAAATTCAACTCTGCAGTTCAAAAGTTTGAAATAATATAATGTTTAAGAAATAATATAGAGAGTAATAAGTCTGTAAAACAACACAAAAATGCACTGGCAGTAATAAATATAAATATCTTATTAATAAATTATAAAATGTTAATAAAAGTCACTTTTTCCAACTTTTTCAAGGTTAAAAGTTGTTGGGGGTAAGATCAAGGTCCCAAAATTAAATTCAAAAGCATAAATAAAGGAAGAAAAATAAAAAAATGAATCATAAAATATGAAAACTGCTCATTTACAAATGTTTTTTAGAGAGTGGGAAATAGGGCTGCTCATATCGTTTCAGCATCAATATCACACTGTGCACATTTGCAATAGTCAGATTGCAATGATATGCGATGTCCATCTGAAATTTAGTTGACCAGGAGCCACAAAAGTGTTTTTATCACTGTATTTATATGGAATTTATATAATTTATGCGAATTTTTTTTTTCTTGTTTCTAGTCTAAATTAGAGTTAGGTCGATAGAAGATTGCTTCGTCCATGGCTGGTGGTTAATAGACATCTCAATGCTGGGCTGGCATGGCGATCATCTGATCCTCCGCCCCCGCCCCCGCCCCGCGTTTCACCTAGCATTTATGAACAGCCCTCTTCGGTCTTTTGAATCTATCAGGTAACGTTTCACAGCGTCAGTACACCGTTTCAATCTTTCGCTTTCACGCTTGTACCTACTAATTTTAGCGAAAACCTCAGATACTGTTGGTTGTTTCCTGTTGATTGTGCACAATTTTTACCAATCAAGCTTGTGGTTTGCGTTATTATAACGACACAGATCACTCTGCCTATTCATGCCAGGTCCCGCGGAAAAAGTGTTTGACAGGTGGTAATTTGTGTGTAACTTTATTTATTTATGATTTGGTTATTTGTAAAACAAAGACCATGTGGGTCAGGTAGTTGAAACGGTAGGCTACAAACAATTAATTCGTTATGAATGAATTAATTGATAAATAACGACGACGATGCCATCGTCTATTGTCATGTTTCACATTAGACATCGTACGATGCCAAATTGGCCGACATCGCCCAACCCTAGTCCAAATATCTACATTTCAAAGCGAAAACTATTTTTTTCTAACCTCACTGGCAGATTAAATCAAGCAAAAAAAAAAAAACTTTCATTTTCACTTATTTCTTCTGACGGTGAAAATTAACAAAATTATTACTTGGTCTGAGAATTCGTTTTTTTTGCATTGTTTATTCAATTTATCTACATGAATACTGTAAGACTTTCCAGAAAGCTATCAAATAGAGCTATTCTAAGTCTGTAATCATATCACAATATTTATCGCAGAAAAATGTTATACCGCAATATCAGATGTTTTCAATATCGTGCAGCCCTAGTAGGTAACGCTTTCAAAAACATGCTGCACACTGCAATAGCAGTGATAGCAGCATGTTGACATTAAAGGAGGTTTATGTTAGTGACTGGAGCAGTGTTTTGATCTATTTGCAGTTCATTTCTGACCTCCTTAACAACTCACAGTGCTCAAGAGCTTCAGTCAGAATGACACAGACCCTATTTATAGTGTGTGCTTTGGGGAGGAAACTGTCCCTGGTGAAACCAGTTCAAAACTTCACTTTCAAAACTCAATCCCATCTAACGTTGAATGCATGAGGATGTCTAATGCTGAATTTGAGCAACACATGGGCAGTGAGTACAGGGTTGTGTGGCTAAGTATGCCAACTCTAAAATACTGAGGGTGCACCTACACCTTGTGTGAAAGTGTGTTTTGAAATTGTCAATTGGCCTACACACATCTGGGAACAAGTAAGGGACTGGCCAAGTGTGTTAGATTTGTGTGTCTGTGTGTGTGCGTTGCATAAATTGAGGGTATCTTTGATTGCAGGACCCTTCTGGACTCACACTTCACTACTCACACAGAGCTAATTTGAGTGACTCAAGCTGTTCATTAACTCTGTCTGACTACACATTTGAATATGTAACTGAAGAATGCCAGAAAGCAGAAGTGTCTCCCCGTCATCAGATTTGGTCCAGGAATCATCATTTTTACAAACATTACGGCATTGCTGGAATCTGTGCTGATAAACTACAGCATTAGCCTGAACAGTCTCATCAGTCATCCATATGAAAAAAAAAATCTAGTATGATAGATGCACCAGGCTCACTCTAATACAGCCCACATGGCGTATGAATTTTCAGTGGTAAATTGCTGAGTTGTGAATAAGAAAATCTATTGTGGTCTGTTGTCTGCGCTTTTCGTATAAACACACCATCAGCAAAAATATCCACATAAACACAGAAGTTGAGAAACAAGCTCTCCAGCTCTGGCTATGTCTGGAAACTAATACTAGCATACTCCTTCCTTTATGCTGGACAGTACACACTGAAAACAAAATACTTTAAAAATAAAAGATTTTTTCCTTATGACTTCATGATGATGAACACGTAATTCTGACTGACTTCTGTCACAAATAACAGTGCTTATAAACACTGTCACTCAATAGGGTCAGAAAGATTACAGAACTGGATATTTTAATTCAGCAAATACGCATTAAACTGATTAAACTTTAAAGTAACGACTGTAAATAATTAATAATGTTACCAAGTTCAACATTTCAAATGAATGCTGTTTTTCTTTTCAATTATGAATTCTGAAGTTATCATGGTTTACAAATATTTAGTTGCACATCTGTTTGAAAGATTCCTATGAATGTTTCTTGAGCACCAAAGAAATGCTTCTTGAATACTGACAACGCATATTAAAATCTCATGTGACACTGAAGACTAGAGTCTATTACTATAGTAATAACTGCAGAAGTTTCTGCTGTGCCATCACATAAATAAATCTAATTTTTTACTAAAATAGAAAACGTTTTGAACTGCAATGTTATTTAACAATAATACTGTTTTGTGATTAATAGTATTTTTGCTGTATTTATTTTTATGTTTTTCAGTCCTTCATTCATTCAATTTCCTTTGGCCTAGTCTTGCGCATGCCCAGGCTCCAATTTTAGCAGTTTTTTTTTGGGACAGTTTGTGCCCATCATGAGGTATTTTGCAATCAAAGCGTTCAAAGGAAAAAGGTGCTGTTGCGTTGTCCATATTTTTTTACAGTTATTGGCTGCAACCCAGTACTGGGAAACATACATACACACTCATTCAGACTCTAGGCACTACGGCCAATTTTGCTTACCCAAAACACCTGCATGTCTTTGGACTGTGATGAAAACCGAACACCCGGAGGAAACCCACACGTACAGGTGAATAACATGCACACTCCACACAGTAATGCCTATTATGTTTTTGATCAATAAAATTCAGCCTTGTTAAGAATATGAGACTTTGACTTATATAAAAAATGGCAGCGTACAGTAAAACTATTGCATCTGCTTTAATAGATTGATTATTCTATGCACTATACAAAACTGCACATATTTCATTAAAATGTTGTTTAGTTTAGGTAGAAAAGTTGGTACTATTCTAATTATGTTTATACTGTGTACAGTACATATTCTCTAAACTGCAGAAACGGTGAAGAGTAATGAGGTATTATGGTACTCCAAACAGTCGTTTCCCTCCCCCACAGCACTGACATTAGGTCTCATAGTTCTGCTAAGAAGGATTATGGGTGTAATGAATCCGCCCTGTGCCATGACACTCTTAAGATCTGGAACCTGTCAGCCACTATAACACCCCAGGCAACTTGTGCATGCAAATTCATTTCTGTTAGTGAGACTTTTGCTTGTTTATTTATTACATTCTAATGTACTGGCTCTACTAGTTTTTGTTATGCATACCACTATGCAAATTCATACACATAATTGCACACCAGTACACAGATTAAACTTCTTCAAGTACTTCTACTTCTATAAAATCCACAGATAATGATTTACAAGTGAAAACAATTATTTCACTGACTATACTATGGAAATTATTAACCAATTAACCAATAGAGAAAAAAAAAATCCTAGTGTGTTGTTGGGAGCAGCACGGTAGCTCAGTGGGTAGCACAATCGCCTCACAGTTGGCATTTCTGTGTGGAGTTTGCATGTTCTCACAGTGTGTGCGTGGGTTTCCTCCGGGTGCTCTGCAACTTGGAGTGCCCCTGTTGATAGTCTCTGCACTTTGTCAAATGCATGCCAATGCATTATTTGCGTATCTATTTAATATTTGATTCTAGTAATTGTACACTTACCATAGTAAACAGTTGCAAACTCTTATAATTTGAGACTTAAAAACGAGAGTATAAAGGTGGATTACATCAGTATTGCCATCTCAAGACTTAACACTACACTTGAATTGTTGTTAATTTCTACACTGTGCTAGACTTGAAGAAGGTAAAGCTAAATGGGAAAATAATCAAGCAAGGAGTCAAATCATTCAAACCCTAGCAAGTGTCATAAGAATGAAAATACATTGTTTAATAAAGTAAAAAGACTCACCATCATCAAGTGTTATGTCCTGAAGGCCAATGGTGCGGAAGGTGGGCTCTCTGTCCTCTGGCTCCTGCTTGATGTTCAGCCTCTCTCCTTGCTGGGCCAGGGGGTGTGCCAAAGGACCTGAAGGAGACAACCCAGCTAAGACAGGGCTGCTAGCCTGAGGCGAAGGCTGTCCAGAGAGTGCCATGGGCCCCAGGGGGCTGTTGGATGTAGGAGAAGGGGAGGTGGGCGAGTGGTATGGGAGCGAATGGAGCTGGGGGGATGAGGGCCCAGAGTGGGGAGATGGCACCATATGAGCTGGAGCACTGGACGGCGTGGGGCAGGAGGCAGAACGCTGCCCGGCTGGATGGTAAACCAGTGGACGTTGGAGCTGTGGGGGCGGCTGTCCCAGGGTGTGAGTGGGCGATGGTATCTGGCCTGGAGTGGGGTGGTGATAGCCTAAAGAGTGAAGGTGTGGGGCAGAATGGGCCATGACCTGGTTACTACCTGTACAAGCTACATGGCTGGGGCTTGAGCCAGGACCCGGCGGCACTCCAGAGGGGGGTGTTGAAGAAGCCGGGCCATAAACCATCCCCACACCCAGGGTGTGACACCCAGCTGGATCAGCCTGGAAGGGCATCCGCTCGTAGGCCTGTGGGGAGCCTGCAGTCATAGGAAGACTCTGCTGGCCATTGAAGGGCATGTTGTGCTGTATGGGGGGGTAAGATGGCCTGGCAGTGGCAGCAGGGCCTGGGTGGAAGGGCATCTGGCATTCGGGAGGTGCATTCAGCCCACGAGCCTGAAGGTGGGGCAGGTGGGGAAGAGTTGGGGAGCCCATTGGGGCGCAGGGGGCCTGGAGAGGGTGCAGGCCTGCAGCCAGGCCACGTGGGGAGCTGGACAGAAGGCCGTCTGGTGGGTGGGAGTGCTCTGGGGAGGACAGCGGCTGAGCGCAGACCAAACTGGCAGCATGGACCAGAGGCATTGACATGGGCGGCACGGCAGGGGAGTCCAGATCATCCCTATGTTCTTGCTTGACCAGGACTGGGAGAGTGGAGAGAGGGACAGAAAGAAAGAAAGGAAGAAAAAAATGTTAAATCTTAACATCGGAAATCTCAATTGCTATGAAATGTCACTGAAGTAGCCTAAACAGTAAAATATTGAATTTTATTCATACTTCATCGAGCATTTTATTTATAGTTTTTTTGTAATAATAGTAAGGTCTCACTATGGCATTAAGTGGGGTGGTATACGGATGCATTTGGTATATACATTATTTATACCAAAGTAATTAACCATACTGGTTTGGCAATTTCCTCTAAAGTTTTACAGAACTAATAAACTGCTGTCCCGTTTCCTACCTCCAACAGAACTGACAGCTATACTACATGACTAACATATCATCCAGAACTATAAATAATAATAATAGTAATAACAATAATAATAATAATAATAATCACGTTTTATTTTGAGCTAATATTTCCTCCAAACTTCTCCTCAATGCACATACAATGAGAAATATCAGCACATAGTGTTCAGTAACCCATTTCCCGATCTGCCAATTCCCTGGCCCGCATGAGTGGGGGATATTTTTACTTGCTGTGGACTCTGAGAGAGCATATGTTGCCTGCTTGAATGCCATGTAAACCAGTGCTGAATTTGGGAAGTAAAGAATGCTGTCTGCCCTCCAGCATAGCTCCAAATGGGAACCAAAATCCAGTTCACAGCCCATAAGCTGCTGAAAGGCCATTACTGGGGTAAAACTATAGTTTACTGATATAAAGAGCAAGCGACAAGCGTGTGTGGGAGAGTGTGAATGCATCTGAGCATGGTGTTACTCACTGTGTACCTACAATGCACTTGAAGAGTTTCAGCTGATAAATGCAGCGTTCCTTATCATTTTGTGTTTTAAACCACCGCTGGTGGATTTGACCAACAAAGAAGCTTTAGACATTCAATTAGGTGTATTACAAATGACTTCCTTGCAGGCTCAACAGCGTTCACACTGTATTTAGATTAAATCTGGATTAAGTACTCTGCTCATCGTATCAGACGTCTTATTCATTACCCCTGTTAAGAGTCTGGCTCTGCTCTAACAGCGCAGCACCTCAACCCTTCCCCCTGCCATGCCACTTTCTCAGCAGGCTGATGCCATAGCAACCACAGTCGCCGTGGCCTGTTCAGAATATTAGCTGCTTGTGCTGTCGTCTGATTGGCTGAGGCCTCGACGGGTTAGTGTGGAAAACAGGAAACCCTAATTTGAGTGGGTGCTTTGTGGAGCGAAAAGGGTGGGCGGGAGGCTGGGCCTATCACGCTTTCTCTCACTCTCCTTCTGTTTTTGTCTTGCATGCAACTTGTAGAAAGATACACAGAAAAAAAAGTTGCTCACGTGTGATTTAATGACGCCAACGCTGTTTTCGGTTTGACTCACTTTGAGAAATTAATACCAAACCAGTTTAATCTGATGACAACCGCAGACAACTACACTTCATTAGAAACTAAGCAGTAATTAGACGCCAACTTTTACTGCTCCCTGGGCCGTTTCATCAGATTTATGAACGTCTATTTCAAAAGCAGCATTAATACCGTAATGCATGTCAACAAAACATCATTATCATTGCCACCTGAATCATCAAGCTCATGATTCAACAGGCTTGATGAAAAATGTAAGGCAATTCTGCAGAATATGACAATCGTGATAGATGAAGCCAACAGGAGACGGAAACATAGTCAAAGCATTCAATTATAGTAAGAAAGACGCTGAAGCGGTTCCCAGATTTACATGCATCTAGTTGCATTTGAATTATGCTGATGCTTTCTTTAAAGGGTTAGTTCACCCAAAAATTACAAATAGTCCTCAACCTTAAGATATACTAAGAATTTATGGCTTTCTGCTTTCAGTCAAATTCAGGAGATTTTATTTTGGATATTTTTATATTGGATATTTAAAAACAAACAAACTCCTAGATCATTTAAGCTGCTATGGCTTCAACAGTGCAAATCAAGTCCAATAAAGCAGACCCCTCTATAATAGAAGTATGGTTCTGGAGGACGAAAAAAGGTCAAATGTACCGAACTGATGCTTTTTTGTAAGAAAAATATCTATATTTAAAACTTTATAAACAGTTCTTTGCATCTTCTGCGACTGCTTTTCGCTGGATGATGTAGGATGTGTGAGTAAATCATACACTGTTAAGCACTGAATCACACATTTATCTCAAAGGTGCATGTGCTAAGCAAGTATTCCATGTCATCTGGCAGAATGTAGTAACCTGCCCATTAACACTGTAGAGCTTGAAAGAGTAAGGAGATTATTATTTTTTTTTAACTATTGGATTCAGCAGAAAGAAGAAAGTCATATACACTCATGGGATACTTTGAGGGTGAGTAAATCATGGGCTAATTTTCATTTTTGGGTGAACTAACTCTTCATGGTGTTTTACACGAGCTGTTACCAGGTGCTTAACTGTTACTGGAACAACCTCATCCCTAACCACACTGGTGCACAGTGCAGAGGAACGCCGGCTTGATCAAACGGGTGACTCTGTTATGAAAACCCACATGTGTGCCATTGTTGTTACTGTTAAGGGAAGTTAGCAAGAAAACAATTTGTCATGAAATTGACTTAAATCTTAGTTTCTTTTTAGGAATTAAGGATCAATGAAATACTTTTGTTTTTCAATTACATTTTATTTTGGGTCAGGAAATATACAAATTTATTTTTAAAGTAAGTAATTTATTCAGCAAGGATATGTTACACTGGATTCTACAACAAATAAATGAGGTTCTTTTAAACTTTTTAGTAATAAAGACAAAATAATACACAAAGTACAAAATAATAAAATCAAAAACACCTATTTTTAATTGCAATAATTCATTCATTCATTTCCCTTCGGCTTAGTCAAAGGTTAATTTCAGAGGTTGCCACAGTAAAATGGACCGCCAACTTATCCAGCATAAGTTTTACACAGTGGATGCCTTTCCAGCTGCAACCCAGTACTGGAAAACACCCATACACTCTGGCATTCACAAACACACTCATACACTACGGCCATTTCAGTGCATCCAATTCACCTATAGCGCATGTCTTTGGACTGTGGGGAAACTCCACAAAGGAACGCCAACTGACCCAGCTGGGACTCGAACCAGCATCCTTCTTGCTGTGAGGCACCAGTGCTAACCACTTTTTCAATAATATGCAAGTATTGAATTGGTGCTTTCAAATTGGTGCTTGTTTTCATGTCTTAAAACATTCATGAATATTACACAGAACCAACTATTAAACAGTCATGTACATTTTACATTTATATGGATCATAAAAACACAAAAAAACACACGACTTGCTCACTTAAAAGTGAAAAAAATATTTAAAATATTAACTTCTTTCTGAGCAGACATTACATTTAGCGAGAGAGTGTTATAATGTGGAATGTACTTATGTATACATACCTGGCAGATAGGTGAAGCGTTGCGACTGGCTTCTTTTCCGCTTTCCATTGCACACGTAAAACTGCACCTGCACTGCTGAAGTGACCGTCTTACTGTGGTACGGAGGCACCTCCACCGCAATGCTTGACTACAGATGGAGACAAGAAACAAGACATTATTAATCATCAAAATCTCTCAATGCAGTTCACTGAAGAATACAAAAGTTCAAATATAGTCAAAACATACCACAACGGCCTCAAATCTATCATGTATTAAACTCTCAGAGGACTCAAAAGGGGAATTTTCACAGAAGAAGGAAAAAATCTGAATGTCGACACACTCCTGTATTCTCTGTTTTAGTTGGAAAATATTATCTGAGATGTGTTAAAAAAAAATAAAAAAGTTTTCTTACTCCTTGACTCTTCTCTCTAATGATCTTTGCTTCCACCTCCCACTGCGGTCGTCCATCTGAAGGATAGAAAAAAGAAAAGCATTAGCTGCATACACTGGAACAACACACTGGGACATCTACGTAGCATTCAAAATGACCTGAACTGAACCCTGCGTGGCAATATTTGCCCCTCAAATTAAGGTAACCTGACCTCCTCCTCATTGCCATCATCGGTCTGCTGAAGCTTTAGAGATTCACATTACAAATCGTCAATCAGTAACGGGGAGCTGCTCTGCAGCATGTTTCTACAGGTGTTCCTGCAGCGAATCCAGAGAGAAGTTTGACAAATCGTGCCTTGCCTTGAGAATAATAAAATGATAAATTGAGATTGCTTGCGAACGATAAGCCTTTTTCCACAAAGAGAAAGAGGCTCAATTGCTCGAATAGATCAAAATGTCAGCTCTATGTGCAGCCTGTGTACAACACTGACCTGACTACGAAAACAAATGTCATATTAAATACTCCCAAGAAAGAGGGCTAGAAATGCCGGAGCAGAATGAATTCTTCATTATGGACAATCCCAGAGCCTCTTTAATGAAAATAAAATCAGTCTCAGTGCTTGCCCTTTGTGACAGAAACAGAGAAGACACTCGGGCCCCAAAAAGTAATGAGGTCATTTATAAAGCCATTAGTGCCTTAGAAAGATCTGTGGAAGGTTTTTATTTATTGCTAATTCATGGCTAGATGTGTGGAATAACTGTATTCGCTGCCTGATTGCTATACTTGCAGCTTGTGCAGGATCTCTCGGAAACACGTTGTCATCTTAGGTTTTTCCTTTAAAATGACGCTAATCATCTGCATGGACGTCTTGAAGACAGAAAATGAAAGCCGAGGGACTAGAGCTGACTAGTTAAGACTGATCCTGGAAGGGAAAATTGCCACTTTATGGATCATAAATTACATAAAGCGCACAAACAGCACGACACACGGTTTGATTTACACTTTTAGACACATGTGCAGCTTTGAAGTTTGTGCTCGACATGAGGCTAACAAGAGTCAAACGGCAGTACAATCCTAAGAATGTCGAAAATGAGTGATGTTTGGTAATGAGTGGGTATGCATGCACATATATACAGTAAGAAGGGGGTAACGTGAAGGGCAGTGTTTAAGAAGAGTTATCAAACTGCAAATATGGCTTTGGGCAGTTTTATAATCGCCTGGTGCATTGCACTCCAGAGACGTCCGTTTACACGAGGTTACTGTGCAGAGTATGTACTCCCTCTGTGTCAATAGGCATTTTGCTAATATGAGAATGACCTTGGACGCCTGTAACTTCAGCGGTAGTAGTACAGCAGCACATGTTGACATTCACTGGACACCGGAGAGGGCCCCACCACATGAGAGCAGGTTCGAACAGGAACCAGACTCAAAAACTCGGTGACAAGCGCATATGCTTCTTAAGCCCAGAAACACTGGCGCTCTGTTATTACTACTATGATAAACAAACCCAGGAAAAATAAACTTCTGGCAAAATCATACAAAGCTTTTATGTGTCATTATGTGGAATTAAATGCCCTGCTGGTAGGCGTAAATTTGTATCAGCTCAAACAGATGGATCATGTAACTCCTCATTTATAATTTCTTGAATCATTAATTAGAAAAACAAAAATGTTTTTGTTAGCTTTCCCGAGTCAAGATTTTTTTTTATTGTAGACCATTAATTCTACTTAATTTTTCATATTTGACATTCATATTTTCTCACTAGGAGCATAACAAACGAATTAATCTTTGATGATTAACCTTTATAAAAAGTCTTTCATGTGAAATTCTGATCAATTAAACCTTAAGGAGCAGTTTATTGTGCCTTTAGACAAAATTGATATTTTATAAATTATAATTTAAAATAGATAAAGAAAAGTAGAAAATTAACAGCTGTATGCAAACTCTCCAAACATGTTCTGACTGCTACATTGTGTATAAATAAACATTTTACTCATGAAGCCATAATGAAATCCTAATATCTCTGAAATTAACCATATATTGATGTTAAAATTAAGGGTAACACTTTTTTTTGGAGGTCCATTTGAGTATTAGTAGACTCTCTGCTTTAATATCTGTTGATACTGCTCCTTCAACAGACATTTAACTGACAATAAGAAACTTTGCACGTACATGTTAACTTACACTTACCCTAATCCCAACCTATCAGTCTACTTATAATCTAATGAGAATTAGTTGGCAAGTAGATGCAATGTAACTTAAATTTAACAAACGGACCATCAAAGCAAAGTGTGACCAAATTAAGATGTGAAACGTTTGTTAAGCTCTAAAATCTAACAGAAATCTATGACATTATATCTGCCTAGTTGATCTTTTGCTTAAGGTGTTCTAAAGATCCACCCCCACCCACTGACAAAGATCCAGAATTTGTCCAATACATCTTCATTTGTGCTATTTTGTCTACTAAGCCATCATAAATTGTGAAAATAACCCATCAAAGGTTTTGAGATCAAGTGGAATCCATAGTAAGTGAGGTCAACTTTCACTACTGTTTTGTTGTTAGATAGAGACAAGGGATTTTACAAGCAATGATTATTCTAAATCTTGGACCTTATTCTTGAAATAACTTTTTTTTTAAAATTAAGAATGTACTTTTTACAAGTTTTTTTTTTTTACTTTTTTTTGCTCAGTTTGTTTTTTGCCAAATAAATGACAATACAGTTTTTAATTTAAAACATTTCATTCACATTTTGATTTGATCCTTTTCTAATGATATATGATGTGATAAATTTCTTCACATTTCTTTATTCTAAATCTTTAGGAAACATTTTAGTACATCAAAAAGTGTGGTTATGATGACTATCTGACAAGCTAATCCAGTTAAAAATATTGCTCATCACTAAATGCAGTATTTAAACCTCATAATTAAATAAAAAATGTGGCAAATAACTGCAAAAAGGTCCACTTAAGTTAGAGAGCTAAAATATCTGTAATACTTATTCAGTTGTAAATTCATTTGAAGAAAACAAACAAACTTTTATTTAATTTTGAACTGTCACCACAGGCATTAAATACAACAAACATTGCTAAAGAAAATGGTTGTAGTGTAAAAAAAGCATAACACTGCCATCTTTCCAAAATAATTTTTACACTCCTAATTCATCCATCCATCCATCCATCCATCCATGCAGTGTTCAGTTTCAACTACACGAGGGTAGATCAAAGATGACAGAACTTTCACTGAAGTGTGAATTCTAATTTTCCTGAATATGAGCACAACTTAACCTCTAATTTCCAGTTCTGTTTGTTCAGGTGCTAAAAACCTACATCATATGTCTACTTCACTACATTTAAATCCATTCAGCAGATGAAAGCAGTCATAAAATCTTAGGACCACCACATGAGTTAATAGGCACTCCCCATCTAATTACTGTATATCCAACAATCATTCAATTAGATTAGATACAATCTGTCAGAATTAGACCTAAAATGATCATTCCCCCTCCTCTCATGTGTCCTTGTTTGTCCCTTGCTGTTGTAGCCCTTCAGAAGCACGGCTCTGTGCCAGTCCACAAAAAGACTCTCCTTACCCGATGTGAATTTGTATGATTTTGTATATTGCAGACTCAATCAACCCTTTGCCAGAGGTCTTAGCCAACTTTCTGAATCTGAAGAATCTCTCTTAATGGACTGAATTACTATTAAAGCAGCATCACAGTCTTTGAAAATGTATCCAGTTCACTCAGTTCATTTAAGGGTGTACTTACGGACTTAAACTTCCTCTTTAAAAAGTTCTACAAATAAAAAATGAACAATACAAAAAAGTAACAATAAATATAGAAATTGTATATATATATATATATATATATATATATATATATATATATATATATATATGGCGTCACAGAGACTCGGTGGTCAGCACTGTTGCCTCACAGCAAAAAGGTCGCTTGTTCGAGTCTCGGCTGGACCAGTTGGCATTTTTGTGAGGAGTTTGCATGTCCTCCCTGTGTTTCCTCCAGGTTCTCCTGTAACCCCCACAGTCCAAAGGCATGAGCTAGAGGAGAATTGAATAAACTAAAAATGGCCATGGTATGTGTGTGAATGGGACCAATACATTTCAGTTTTTAAAGTATCATTTTAGAATGAAAACAATCCACGTCCACACTAGCGTTTCACTTGGCATTTTGAAACAGCTCTCAAATATGACAAGACTATTTTAGACATTCACAGTCCCAGTGTAAAGAGCAGCATCATATTACTGGGTGCACTTTTAACAACACATTTAATTTCAATCAAACACAACTCTCATAAATCACGCAGACACTGTTTAATGAGCTCCTGCACCAAAAGAAATGAACTCTCCCCCTGAGCTACTCAAGGCCAGATGTGAGCGCCAAATTTCCACCCAGCTTGTTCTAGCATCTCAGTACTTTCCATTTTTATACAGTGCAACAAAAGCATGGGTTACCACCACACAGGTTGCCTTGAGGGTTTGCCGCTTCACAGGGAGCCAATTAGAGGAAAGGTAAGTTCCAAAGGGTCTCTCTCTCTCTCTCTCTCTCTGAGTCAGTTTGATGTATTAGAACAGCCCAGTGTGTTCACATGTAAACTCCTGTTGAGTGAGTCAGTGTCTCATTGTCTCAAACTAAATACACACACACAAACACACACACAATCAGATGTACACTGAAGGCAGGCCAAGACTCGTATTCCCAGAATGCCTTTCATTCATTTTCTTCATCTGAGGCTGGTCTTAACTTGTGTTTCATTACCTACAAACTGTGTGTCCTTGAGCGACGGAAAAAATGAGCAGCAAAAAGAGAGAAAACGAACCAAAGAAAGAGAAGCATTCCTTATCAAAGCATTTCAACAAGAGCATACAAGTAATACTGGAAAGTGTCAAGAAAAAAAATGATTTCCAACATTATGTATTAAGAGTAAGAAAGCAAGAGTGAAAAAAATATATATATAAAAAAAGGCTGTCTGCTGGAGATGCCAGAGTGTCTCTGAGGGCTCTGTTCAGTGTGTAAAAGGTCTATTTCAGCTCACAGTGAGACTCAAAGGATCAACAACA